TGCTGCTGCTTTTGTTGCTGCTGCACCAAAAGCAACAGCTGTGGCTGTGTTTCACACGCGGTTTTTGTTTCTATGAGTTTTAAATATAATAAATATAATAATAATTATATAATATATATATGTATATATATACATAAGCTACTATATTATATAATTAGTTTTGTACTTTGAAATATATTATTAAATATAGTATAAATCCAGAAGCTGCATTGAAGAAGAACAATTGAAAGAGAAAAAGAAGGTGAAGCAGCTACACTAAATATTTGTTTTTAATGTAGAAGCAAACAAACTGCATAAACGAAGAAAAGCATATATAAGAAATAACATATATATAATATATATATATATATATATATATTGTATAATATATTTATTCAATCAGAAGCCCTTCATATGCTTCTGCTGTACAGATACTATAAACAAACAAACAAACAAACGAACAAACAAACAAACAAAACAAACAAACAAATAAATAAATAAACAAACAAACAAACAAAGCCGAATACTTATTAAAAACTCTATACAAACATATATAAGTAATTTGTTTGCTGCATTAATCATATTAGACTCTCTATTTGGACAATGCACATTACTGTAGTTGTTCTGCTATTATTTATTTATTTAATTTATTTAATTTATTTATTTAATTTGTCTGCTCGTTTGTTCGTTTCTTCATATCTGTCTCTCCCTCTATTTGCATTTGTCTCTGCATTTGTTTGTCTCTTTCGCCGTTTGTCTAATTATTAAATTAAAATCTTTTCTTCTTTTCTTTATTTTATTTTTTAATTAATTTATATCCCTCTCTTTTTGTTTTTGTTTTAATTTATTTATTTATTTATTTCTCTTTGTTTTTTTTAATTATTTCACTCCCTCTGTTTTTTCTAATAAATTTATTTCTTTTTCTAATTAATTTATTTATCTACCTTTTAACGTGCTTCTCCTCTGTGCTTTTGTTTGTTTGTTCGTTTGTTTGTTTATCTCCATCTATGTATATCATATATATGATCTATGTTTTATATATATATATATATATATATACATCTGCGTATACAATATATATATATATATATATCTACATACAAATATATATATGCATCTATATATATATATGCATCTATATATATATATATGCATAATATATATATATATGCATCTATATATATATATATATATATGCATATATATATATATGTATACATAGATATCGATATCTCTGTCTTTGTATATATCAGTGCGGGCTGTGCGTTGTCTTTGTATTTATTTCTTCGTTTATTCCCATCTCCTTTTTCTTTGTTTTTCTTGAATAAGATAATTTATCATTTGTCTTCGTCATCCATCTTCAAAATATATTATATTACATTATATTATAGCCGCATTATATGATATTACAGTACAATATATTATAGCATATTATAATATACTGTACAATAATATAAAAAAAAATATATAATATAATATAATATAATATATCTGTGTTTATATTTATCCTTCGAAGAGATCAGAGAAATGTTTAGCAATATTTGCAGCATCTATTCTGTTTTTTCTGCGAACTTGCAGCATTTGTTCGAGGAGCTCTGCCCACCTCTTGGGTACATGTGCTTTATTTAATTCAATTAGAATAGATTTAGAAGAAGGGTTTTCATTAATAAGATTTTGTACAACAGGTTCCATTTGTTCAGGGGTAGCAACCCCTTGAGAAATATCATAAGGAAGCTGCTCTGTAAACAATTCATATATTAAAACCCCGACACTCCAAATATCGCACTTTAAATCCGCAGAAACTTTTCCTGTCCCTCTATTTCTTTTACTTCTTTCTGTTGTTATTGTTGTTGCTGTTGCTGTTGCTAATCCTTCTGCTGCTGCTCCTCTTCCTGCTGCTACTACTGTTGCCTTCTCCATCTCTTGATATATCTCATTCAGAAACTCAGGTTCGCCGTATGCAGGGGTAATCCCAGCAAGATATTTTAATGTAGCTTTATCTACGCTGCTTGAAGTAAAATCTCCTAGAAGAAATGAACCGTCTGCTCTTACATAACAGCTACTCAGCTTTAAATCGTTATGCGTTACTCCTTGCTGCTGCAAGTGCAGCACCTGCAGCAGCAGCCGCTGCGCACAATATATCTTTGCTGATAATGGGATATCTATGCTGCTCGCTATTAATTCTTCTAAGTCTCCATGATATCTTTCTGTTATTTGCACTTTTCCTGATATATATACACCCGAAGCAAACAAACCTCTCTCTAACCCCTGTATACACCCGGTGGCTAGCGGTACAGCCCACCCTTTCAAGTCTGCTGCTGCTGCAGCAGGCATATCCCCTAAAGCTGCTTCAATACCTCTTGTTTCTATTGCATTAAACTCCTCCACAAGGTCTGCTAACTCATCAGCAGCAGCATTCGCATCCTCCTTCGCCCCCTTCTTGCTGCTGCTGCTGCTGCTGTTCTTGCTCGGTGGGTCTATGGATGCGAAGGGGATAACGACAGCCAGCAGCTGATTTGAAGGCTGATCGCGCACTTCTAAAACAATCGATGAATTCCATTCGCCTAGGAAGCGAGTAACAGTAAAATATCTTGCAGCACCTGCTGCATCTCCAGAGATGTTGCTGCTGCTGCTCCTGCTGCTTCTGAAGGGTTTCAGCGACTCCAGTGGGAGCGTCTTCCCTACAATATTGTAATCCTCACCCCCAGACAAAAAAGCAGCAAGATGTCTAACAGCTTTCTCTGCTTCACGAGATGCAGCAGGTAGCCACTGCTCTGCAGCACGAACTAACTCCAGCTCTGATAGAGCACGTGCTAAAAAGGCTTTTCCCTCTAAGACTTCAGGTGAAAGTCTTTCTTCTTCAGATCCAACGGCGGGTAAATCAAAATCCTGCTGCTGCTGCTGCTGCTGCTGCTGCTCCTCTTCCTCCTGCTGCTCGAGTTCAGCTTCCTGCTGCAACTCCTCTTCCCGTCCGGGCCCCTCTTCACCTGCTGCTGCTGCTTCCGCTGAAGGGTTCTCTGGGTCAGGTAAAGCATGTTTTACGTCTTCACCAACAGGAGGAGCTGATGGTTGCAGCAGCTGCTGTCGCAAACCCGCTACCTGACTGAGTAGAAGAAGAGCGAGAAAAAGGCTAAAAGCAGAGGCCCAGGCGTTTCTTTTCCTAAGGAGGCGCCGCTGTGCGTCTCTTGCATGCAACGCCTGCCCCTCATTTCCCGCAAAATGCTGCTGCTGCTCCCCATACTGCTCTTGAGGATCCCCGATAGGAATCTGCGGCTGCTGCTGCTCTTGGTGCTTCTGATGATGCTGCTGCTGCTGCGGATGATGCTGCAGCTGCTTATTTGGCGTAGAAGGAGCTTCTGTATGGACGGCGCTCCACACACCTGCACTGCTGTGTGCAGGGGAAGAAGTATCACCAAGAGCCCCTGACAGCATTTTCAGGCCAACAGGCCCCTACGGAAGCGTGAAGTTAAAAGTTAAGTGCAAATGCAGAGGCTAGAGCGAAAGAAATCAGAAAAATACTCAGAGGCATACATGCAAGAAGAACTGATAAGAAAGAAGATGGTAGCAGAGTTTCTGACGATGAATATGCAGAAGAAAGAGAGCTCCGTGCATATCTCAGCCACACATGGCAATTGCAAGGAATCCAAATGAAAATAAATAATGCAAAAGAAGCAAAAAAAAGAAATACGCGGATTTCGGAAACCTTTCGACTGCTTTTTCGTAAGACGTCCGTCTTGCAATACAGCAGGTAAGGAGGAAAGCGGCGCATGGGTGGCCCTTCCTTTTCAATAAAAAAACGTTTTAAAGTGTTAATAATAACACAACACCTTATAAAATGCAGAAATCCTACAAATTAATGCAGGTTTCCGCAACTCCTTAAAGAAATAGACAGATTCCGCGGGCGCGTTGGGGGCGCGCACAGAATCCTAGGAATAGCTCCTACAGTAGCTGCGGCGGCACAAAGCAAAAAAAAACGTAAGAAAGAAAAAGAAATACCATTTAAAAGAAGAAAACCCAAAGAAAAAACATTATGCATGAGGCATCTGCAAACACAACTGCGTGGATTCAGAGAATCTTGACTAACGGTGTTAAGCCAAGAAGGGAAAGCGCTGCGATTATCCTGCAAAATAAATGTTTAAAGACAAATCTTTAGATTAAAAACACTAACTAAAATGCGTTCTATCTATTGGTGCTTTTATTTTGCTATTTCGTTCTTCTGCTCCCCACAAAGTATTTCCTAAACCGGCGAGCAAACGCGAAAAAAACGAAGCCCCAGCCATTCGGCAGCCCGCTACAGGTTTCACTCGAAGCTGTTCTCCAAACACTCACTACACTCCGAAGTTATCTGCGCGTATTTTTCATTAAGAAAATAATTATTATAAATATAATTATGTGAATAATTAATTATTACCATTTTGTGAATATTTCGCTGAAATTGCAACAATTTATTCAATTTCTCGTCGGTTTTCGCTGCTGCCCTTCAACCCACGATCGCAGACTGCAGAACACTCCCTGTTTATACGCGAAAGATCCGCAACGCCATTAATATTTATATACATTGTTTTTTAAATAAAAAACTAAGTTTAAATGATTACGACTGCAAAAAGTGTAAGAAAAAAGACCCGCTCTGCATGTAAGCGGGCGATGCTCTACTGGCTCTATCGGACAGTGCCGATACACCTGAACTGTTGCATTTGCTGAAGAAGAAAGCTGAAGTTTAGGTGTTCTGACGACCTTTCTTTTTTATTTATTACATTTTCAGGATATGCCCGTTAATAAGGAGTAGTTAGGAGGGGTTTTCAGTGCCTAAAACCCCTCGTTTACATAGTCTCTTTGTCAGAGAGGAAGCAGATATATTAATTACAAAAGGGGGTTTATCACTGCGCTGCAATCGAGAGAAAAGACTTAAAAACTGATTTCATTTAAATTAACAATTAACCCGCTACTGCAGAAGGGCCTGGGGGAGGGGGAGAGGAGAAGAGGCGGCGTGGGGGAAGCACCCACCCTAAACCCTAAACCCTAAACCCTAAACCCTAAATCCTAAACCCTAAACCCTAAACCCTAAATAGATGCTAGAAGGCAAGTTCTTATGCAAATAGAACCACCCCGTCTTCTGGTGTTTTCAATATTCTTTTGTATAACTGCTGTACTTCTGCAACTTATATTCAGGGTGCCTTCTGGATAGAGTATGCTAGACGTGGGGTCTCTTTCGCTGTTTTTATATTAATTGAATTAAATAAGAAGAGATTCAAACTGCGACAAACAAAACCCGAAAAAACGCGTTAAATATCATCTAAAGGACGGCAGACACCTGAACTTCTATCAGCGAGGTTTAGGGTTTTGTTTAGAGTGTATCTCAATGTGGATGTTATTCCCTCTTCTTTCTTTCTGCATTTACACAGCATAAAGTGCTTGTTTATGATTATTAAACAGCAGCAAACTCTACGTCTGCATTGCTCTCTACTGGCGCTACCTTGCAGCAGCAACAGCAGCAGAAGCAGCAGCAGCAGCCGCTGCTGCTGCTGCTTCTGCTGCTGTTGCTGCATGCACTGCATGCACTTGAAAACTACACGGGAAAGTCTTTATGCAAACACCAGTTGGTTGCTGCAGCAGAGCCCTATAGAAGCTGCATCCCTTACGAATCTTCAAAGGGTTTGAAGTTGAGCAGCTAAGGTAAACATCTAACCCCGTCTCTCTAACAAAATATTGAGAAGAAATATGCTGCTAATAGCATGCATTTATGCATGCAGCAACAGAAAAATATACAATTTTGTTGTTTTTGTTATTATCGGTACAACAAAAGAAAGGGGTAGGGCAAGTGTAAAAAAAAGAAATAGAAAGACTGAGGCTTCCTCTGACAAATGCAATTAATTGATTTAAATAATTAAAAAGAATGAAAAATTATCGGTAAAAATGCATTAAAAATATCTCTACTGAACAAAACGAGGAAATGCGGCCATCTGCGGTGTACAGACACCGCAAATAGAAGGCAGCAGCAAACTGCCTTCAGAATAAAATTAATTATTTAATCTAAAATTAAAAAAAATATATCTACAATATTTAAATATCATTAAAAATATAGACTTTAAAAAGCATGCGGGTCTCTATACGCGCCGCCAAACCCTAAACCCCAAACCCTAGCCCCTATACATACCCCAAACCCTAAACCCTAAACCCTAAACCCTAAACCCTAAACACTAGAATGAACTCTTGAAACCAATTTTGCAAATGTAATTTCTTTGTGTTATATATCTATTGGAGAAGTTTCTGGTAGTCTAGGAAGGATTAAACCCTAAACCCTAAACCCTAAACCCTAATTCGTCGGGGGGTGTTCCCACCCTGTAGCAACCACCACCGCACCGGGGTGGCGGTTTAGGGTTTAGGGTTTAGGGTTTAGGGCTTTGTAACGGTTTTGTTTGCATGAATTTACTGCCTTCTCTTCTTTTTATAGACTTAACAATCTTTTTGTGTTTGTTTTTTTTGTAGACAAACACACAAACCCTAAACCCTCGTGGGGATCCGCCCGCGACTGCAAACGCTAAACCCTAAACACTAAACCCTAAACCCTAAACCGCCGGCACCTTCTCACAGCCTTCTGTCTTTGCTGCGGAAGACTTTGCTTGCGGCTTTGCCTACAACAACAACAACAGCAGCAGCAGCAGCAACAGCAGCAGCAGCAGCAGAACAGCGAATCCAGAAGCCCCGGCGGCACCAGCAGCAGCAGCAGCATCAGCATCAATAGCAGCTTCAGCTGCAGCAGGAGCTGCAACAACAGCAGCGGAAGTCTCCGCACGAACGACAGCAGCAACACACACACACCCTACACCCCCAGCCCCAGCAGCAGCAGCAGCAGCAGCAGCAGCAGCAAGTGCAATGTCTGTTCCTGCTGGTGTTTCTGAGGGGTTAAGGGGCCCCTTCGCTACCCCGGAGGCCCCTGGGGGCCCCCAGCAATCGATGGCGGGGCCCTCAGCTTTTGCTTCAACTGCAAATAATAATGCGACAGGAAGAGAAGACCCAGCCACTGTTCAGGTTATAACAAACCCTAAACCCTAAACCCTAAACCCTAAACCCTAACCCTTAACCCTAAACCACCGTTTAAGCAGCCTTCAACACGCTGAAACGCTGCTGCGAGAAACAAGGCACAAGCAAGTGCGAAATGAAGGGTTTCTACAGCTTCCAGGACTTAGGGTTTAGGGTTTAGGGTTTAGGGTTTAGGGTTTGGGGTGTACAGGATACGAACTTCGCTGTCTTTTTCGCGCACTTCTTAAGGGTTTACAAGGGCCCAGACACCCCAGAAGAAGACCCTGAACAGCCAGAAGGCGAAGAAGGCTTGCCCCCAGATATAGCAGGTAAAAGGGTTTAGGGTTTAGGGTTTAGGGTTTAGGGTTTAGGGCTTACAGGTGGTTTCTAGCTGGGGCGACTCGGTCGGGTCTAGGGTTTAGGGTTTAGGATTTGTTACCTGTTGCTTGTTGGTGAGTGTTTGCTATCTATTGTCTAGGGTTTGCTTGTTTCTGCTGTTTAGGGTTTAGAGTTTAGGGTTTAGGGTTTAGGGTTTAGTGTTAAGTGCCGATTTTATATGGTTTCGCGTTTAGGGTTTATATTAGCGGATTTATGTTTATGTGGGTCTTTATGTTTAATGGTTGATTGCTTACTGTCAATTGTCTAGGGTTTAGGGTTTAGGGTTTAGGGTTTAGGGTTTGTTGGGGTGTACGTACAGATGGGTACTACTTGCGTCGCGTGGCTCTGCTGCTTCGCCGCCCCCGCAGCGGCAGCAGTTTATTTATTAATTTAAATAATTTAGAGAGTTGGGCTCCAGAAGCAGCACCTGTAGAAGATGCAGGTTTGAAGCTCGCTCGCCACATCAGAAAAAACTACGTCAGGTAAACCCTAAACCCTAAACCCTAAACCCTAGGCACGAAACCCCGAGGTCGCTAGTTCGGCTTCCTTAGAGAGAGACACCCACTCGTAACAACCGTTAATATTTCCAGTCCAAGCTAGTAGACAAAGTCAAGGGTTTAGGGTTTAGGGTTTAGGGTTTAGGGTTTAGGGTTTGGCGTGCAGGATTCAGCCGCTGCTGCAGGAGCGAGTGCAGCAGGTTGCTGATGAAGTGGCTCAGCGTCTTTCTTGCAGCACTTCTCCGGTGTATCTGCAGCTTCAAGATACGCCTCGCTATGTATACGAGTCTGTCTTTTAAGGGTTTTATTGCTTCCTTGGTGGTTTAGGGTTTAGGGTTTAGGGTTTAGGGTTTAATAAAAGGGTTAAATAAAAGGGTTTAATGAAAAGGAGTATAATAAAATTGTTGATTGCAAGTGCTTAGGGTTTAGCACATTGTTTTGAAGATAAAATAAAGACATATTATATAATATGATATATATTATACATATTATATATATTTATATATATTTTTGCATGCAGCATTAGCAGCATCCGCTGCAGTCAACTAGGCGCATTAATTTGCGTTGGGGGTTTAGTAACACGTACGTCTGACGTTCGTCCTGAGTTACTAACTGCTGCATTTCTTTGTGAAGACTGCGGCCGCAAAGAGAATTCTGTTGCGCAGGCCTTCAAGTACACTCAAGTAAGCACTCTTTCTTTACAATATACGCCTGCGCTTCGCACGGGGTTTAGTAATGGCTTATTAGGGTTTATGAGGGTTTATTAGGGTTTATGAGGGTTTATTAGGGTTTATTAGGGTTTACTAGGGTTTATTAGGAGGGTTTATTGGGGTTCAGATGAGGATTTATTAGGGTTTATGAGGGTTTATTAGTAGGGTTTATGAGGGTTTATGAGGGTTTATTAGGGTTTAGATGAGGGTTTATTAGGGTTTAGATGAGGGTTTATTAGGGTTTAGATGAGGGTTTATTATTATTTCTTTTTGTCTACGATGAGTTTTGTCTGCGACATATATTTTATTAGTATTATTAATAATTATTAATTATTAACGAGAACCTAAAACAATTTCCTATCCATTTCTTATTATGCACTATCCAATTAATTAATTAATTAATTAATTAATTAATTAATTAATTAATTAATATATTAATATATATTAATATATATTAATATATATTAATATATATTAATATATATTTATATATTTGTGCATGCAGCCGGTGAAGTGCTCAGCACCTGACTGCAACAACACTCGAAATTTTAAATTAATTTCTGAAATTTCAAAATTTGGCGACTGGCAGAAAATCCGAATTCAAGAAAATGCAGCAGCAGCAAATGCTGCAGCAGTCCCTCGATCTATTGATGTTATAGCTAGGTAACTATTATATATTTATCTTTATTATTATTATTATTCTTATTCTTATTATCTTTATTTCTATTGTTTGTTTTATTTGCATTTGTAATGTGATCGCTTTTTTGTTGGCTTCTTAGATCTACTTCTGCTTGTTTTATTATTTTATTCTTATTATTTGTAGCAGCAGTTATTAAATTTAATTTTATATTATTGCTTGTTAAATATTTTAATTATAATAATATTTATTTATTGTATATTTTATTATGAGTATTATTTTATTATTGTTTATTATTATTATGCTGCACCTGCTGCATCTACTGCTGCATCTGCATCTGCTGCTTGATCGGCTGCATCTACTGCTGCTGCTGCTGCCGCTACTTCATCTGCTGCATCTGCTGCTGCTGTTGCTGCTGCTGCTGCTGCAGACATTCATTAGTAGATTCTGTCTATGCTGGCGATATGGTGTTGGTGACGGGGGCTTTGATAGCAGTGCCCGACGTACCGGCTCTACTTAAACCCGGAGAAATGCCAAAGTAAACCCTAAACCCTAAACCCTAAACCCTAAACCCTAAACCCTAAGGAGGGGAGGAGTGGCAGTTAGGGAGTCATGGTGTGGGGTTGGTGGTGCCGTCTCTTTATTTCTCTACTGCTGCTGCTGCTGCATCTGATACTGCTGCTGCTGCATCTGCTGCTGCTGCTGCTGCTACTGCTTCTGCTGCTGCTGCTGCTGCCAACATTTTGCTTTGCTTCTTCTCTTCAATTCATTTTCTGCTGTTTTATTCGTTTAAGTTGATTTACTCTCTTTACGTACTTCTATTTATTTGCTTAGCTATATATATATAGCTGTATTTCTGTATCTGTCTACATATCTATATATATGTATATATAGAAATGTATATATATTTATATGTGTATTTATGCACTTATTTACATACATGTATATATCTGTTTATATATATATCAATATATGTATAGATATATATATGAAAACATATACATATATATATATATATATGCATATACAATATACAATATATAATATAAAATATATATAGATCTATATATATATATGTAATATAATATAATATAATATAATATAATATAATATAAAATAATATATATAAACGAATAAAAACTGTGTATAGGTCTGTATCGCGTCAAGCTCAGCGGCGAAATGAATCCTTTTGGGCGGACAGCGGAGTAAAAGGCGTAAAAAGTTTAGGTGTATCGGAGCTTCATTTTAAACTTTGTTTGCTCGCGACGCAAATTCAAACAGTTGCTTCTACGCAGCCAGAGCTTATGCTGCCAGACTCAAGAGAAGTATAATTATCAATCTAAACCCTAATCTAAACCCTAATTAAACCCTAATCAAAACCCTAATTAAACCCTAATCAAAACCCTAATTTAAACCCTAATCAAACCCTAATCAAAACCCTAATTAAAACCCTAATCAAAACACTAATTAAACCCTAATCAAACCCTAATCAAAACACTAATTAACCCTTATGCGCACTTATAAGCACTAATAAACCCTAATAAACCCTTATAAACCCTACTAAACCCTTATAAACATCTATAAACATCTATAAACCCTTATAAACCCTAATAAACCCTTATAAACATCCTATCAATAAACCCTATTGCTGTGTTTGTATATTGCAGGTATTTCAAGCCAGTGACTTTTTAAGTAGAGGGGCCTTCGAATGGATCGGAGAAGTCGCAGCTAAAAAAGACTGTCTCTCTTACCTTGTTCGAAGCGTCGCACCCAGAGTAAACTACTCACACCTGCTGCTGCTGCTGCTGCTGCTGCTGCTGCTGCGGGTGCCTGTGCGGGTGCTGCTGCTGCTGCAGGTGTTGCTGCGGGTGTTGCTGTGGGTGCTGCTGCTGACGTGTTGCTGCTGCTGCTGCTGCTGCGGGGGCTGGCTCCATTGTAGGGATTTGCAGAAGGTGCAGCAGCTGCTGCAGCAGCACAGCAGCAGCAGCAGCAGCAGGAGTTTGAATGGTTTAGGGTTTAAGGGGTTGAGGGTAAGCTGGGGTGTATGCGCAGGTGTGGGGCCATGAAGATATAAAGAAAGGTTTGCTGCTTACGATAACAGGCGGAGTAACAAAAGAGACAGGCAGCTCCAGACTCAGGCAAGCCCTAGGGTTTAGGGTTTAGGGTTTAGGGTTTAGGAGGGGGTGTTGGGGTTCGATAAACCCTAATCCATAAGTCTTAATTGTTTGAGGTTTGTTTTCTGCTGCTTTTGCTGCTATTAGTGCAGCACAGCAGCAGCAATTTGTTTATTTGTTATTTTATATAATCTGCTGCTGCTTCTTCTCTGCCTGTTTATTATTTTAATCCCTTTATATATAATATATATAATATATATAATATATATAATATATATTATATACATAATATATATATGTATATAATATATATATATATTATATTTGCCTCTTCATCTCCTCTAATACAAACAAACAAATGCAGAAAATGATTATTGCTCTGTCCCTTTTAATAAACAAACAAACAAACAGAAAAACTTAAATAAATAAACAAATAAACAAACAAATAAATTAAACAAATAAACAAATAAACAAATAAATAATGTTAAATTTATATTCAGAGGCGACATCAACATGTGCATCGTCGGCGACCCCTCAACAGCGAAAAGTCAGCTGTTAATTTGGGTTGAAGAGTTTTCGCCTCGGGCTGTCTTTACATCCGGCAAAGGCTCTACTGCTGCAGGGCTTACTGCTGCAGTTGTTCGGTATAAACCCTAATAAACCCTAATAAACCCTAATAAACCCTAATAAACCCTAATAAACCCTTCTCATAGATCAGGGCGGCCTGGCTGTTCTAGCGGGTTCTCCGTATCTCGCTCCGTCTAAACCCTAAACCCTAAACCCTCATTATCACTAATAAACCCTAGTTTAGGGTCTACTGATTTAGGGCTTACTGCTCCTGTTGTTTAGTATAAACCCTAAACCCTAATAATAACCCTAAACACTAACTCTAAAGTCTAAACCCTAAACCCTCACAATGCAAACACACGTGCTCCGTACCGTCAAATCTGCATGGTCCTGAACGCCCAAAGCGCAGCACTCTGAGTTTAGGGTTTAGGGTTTAGGGTTTAGGGTTTATGGTTTAGGGTTTAGGGTTTGGGTGTTTGCAGAGATCCGGACCAAGGTGACTACGTATTGGAGGCAGGAGCCCTGATGTATGCTGACCAAGGTACGTAAACCCTAAACCCCAGAGCAGCTGCATCAGCATTGAGGGTTTGAGGTTTAGGGTTTAGGGTTTAGGGTTTAGGGTTTAGGGTTTATTATTGGGTGAACAGGAATCTGCTGCATCGACGAGTTTGATAAAATGGACGAAAAAGACAGAGTCGCAATTCATGAGGCGATGGAGCAGCAAACCATTTCAATAGCAAAGGCCGGAATTCAGGTGTCTGTACACCTCAGGGTTTAGGGTTTAGGGTTTAGGGTTTGGGGTTTGGGGTTTGTGGACGGTACAGATGCAGCGATGAAGTTTAGGTGTCTGTACACCTCAGCCCCGCCGCCCTAAATTGCCGCAACACACTCTCATACAACTCTAAGCCTATTCCCACTGTTGCTGCTGCTGTTGCTGCTGTTGTTGCTGCTGCTGTTGCTGCTGTTGTTGCTGCTGTTGTTGCTGCTGCTGCTTTCGATGTCCTGCGCGTTTCGTCTTGATTCATTTGAGCCAAAGCAGGATCGTGTTGGGATCGTGTGGGGTTGTGCTGGGGTGGCATAAAACCATAGCGGATATGCTTGGGATCGTATGCGATCATCGGGGATCGTATGGGGATGTGTTGGACCGTTTTGGGATCATATGTGTCGTTGGGATCGTGGATCGTGTTGGAATCGTGTGGGATCGCGTTGGGATCGTGTGGGGTTGTATGGGGTCGTGTGGGGTTGTATGGGATCGTGTGGGATCGTGTGGGATCGTGTGTGGGGCAGGCAACTTTGAACGCGCGAGCGAGTGTGCTGGCTGCCTGCAACCCTCGCTTTGGGCGGTACGACCGCAGCAAAAGTTTTGCTGCAAATGTACAGATCCCGCCTCCTCTTTTATCTCGTTTTGATTTATTATTTACTCTGATTGACGAAGCAGATGAAGCCAGAGACAGCGCCATATTTGATCACCTCGTACGAAACCCTAAACCCTAAACCCTAAAGTCGCTTCCGACTCATCATTCGCCCTGCGCACACACATCGATGCCTGCAAACAAATTCACATCCAACTACCACAACAGCAACTGCTTGCATATACACCTCAGGAGCTGCCTGTACACCTGAGGCACTCCAACGTGCCTGTACACCTCAGCAGGTGCCTATACACCTCATGAGGTGCCTATACACCCCGTTTGTGTGTATGGGTTTAGGCTTCTTATCACATGAGCCCTGAAGACGCAGCAGCAACAGCAACAGCAGCAATTGCTGCAGATTGCCTGACGCAAGACGAACTCCGCCTTTATGTTGAATGTGCACAGAAACTAAAGCCAATCATGACTGGTAAACCCTAAACCCTAAACCCTAAGCCCTAAACCCTAAAGTGGGGCTGAGGAGGCGCCTGAAGCAATTTCTCTTGGCTGCATTTCTCGTTGCTGTGTCTTCTTGCTGCTGCTGCTTTAACACTGGGGTTTAGGGTGTAGGGTTTAGGGTTTGAAGCTGGGTGTAAAGTTTTGAGCGTGAGAAGGTTAGGGTTTAGGGTTTAGAGTTTGTGGGGTGTACAGACGAAGCGAGTTTGCGACTTGACTAGGGTTTAGGGTTTAGGGTTTAGGATTTAGGGTTTGTGGGGTGTACAGACGCGGCGCGTCTGGGACTAGTCTAGGGTTTAGGGTTTAGGGTTTAGGGTTTGTGGGGTGTACAGACGAAGCGAAGCGCCGCTTGGTGGAGGCGTACGTAGCACTTCGTCTGTTGGATTCACAGCCGGGGGCTCAGCACAACATGCGTATAACAGTTAGACAGTTAGAATCGCTGCTGCGTCTTTCGGGTATGCCTAAACCCTAAACCCTAAACCCTCGTTATACACCCCACATCATGCAGTTAGACAGTTAGCGCCTCTTCTGCGTCTTCCAAGTACTCCTTTTCTCTTCACGTTAAACCCTATAATCCTAAAGGGTTGAGGGTTTAGGGTTTAGGGTTTAGGGTTTAGGGTTTGTTGCCGTCACAGAGGCTGTCGCAAGGCTGCACTTCAGCGACTTCGTTCTGGAGCAGCACGCGCAAGAAGCCGTAGAAATATTCAGGTTAGTAAACCCTAAACCCTAAACCCTAAACCCTAGTCCGTGTCGGCAGAAGGGCCCCTTGAGATGTCTGTACACTCGAACATCAGAAGAGGTTTTGCTGCTGCTCTTTTATGTGCTGCTGCTGCTCTTGCTGCTGCTGCTGCTGCTGCTGCTGTTGTTTGATATCAGGAGTTCACTGCATCGTATATTACACACTGAAGACATTCAGCTATCTGCAGCAGCAGCAGCAGATGGGAAGGATGCTGGAGAGGCGGCAGCAGCAGCAGCAGAAGCAGCAGAAGCAGCAGAAGCAGCAGCAGCAGGTGGTGCTGCTGCTGAAGTGCGTATATCGCATGCAGATTATAAACTTATTGCTTCTCAGCTTATAGATTATATTAAACAAGCGGAGGCCGAAGCCGATTGCTCTGCTCCTTTTCAAGGTGTATCTTCTAGAGTTGTCATCGAATGGTGAGAAGAATATTAAAATATTATTATTATATTATTATTATATTATTATATTATTTTATATTATTGATATGTTACAGCAACAACAGCATCAACTGCAGCAACAGCAGCACGCGCAACAGCAGCAGCATCCGCACGTGCAGCAGCAGCACGCGCAGTATCAGCACGTGCAGCAGCAGCACGTGCAGCAGCAGCAGCACGTGCAGCAGCATCCGCACGTGCAGCAGCAGCACGTGCAGCAGCAGCAGCAGCAGCACGTAAGCGGATAATGTATATGTGCTGCAGGTGGTTGGAGGAGGTGCTGCAGCCGGAGGACACAGAAGAATTAAATGCGTGGTCGATGAAGCTGCAGCTAATTCTGAATCGTCTGATTGAGAAAGACAGATATATCTTAGTGAGTCTCTTTTATTATTTTTATTATTTTGTTTATTAACTCTTTATTATTTATTCTTGTTATTTATTTATTTATTTATTTATTTACTTCGCGCATCTACTTGTTTTGCTGCTTTCTCTCGTCTCTTGCGCCTCTCGTGAATGCAGCAAAACAGCAACAGCAGCAGCAGCACAAATAACAGCAGCAGCAGCAGCAGCAGCAGCAGCACAAATAGCAGCAGCAGCAGATGTGTTGCTGTTATGTGTATATGATTCAGGCTCGGCCTTCGCCCAGCGGAGACGCAGAAGATTTGCTGCTGCGTGTACACCCGAACATAACGGATACATCTTCAATAGAAGGTGCAGCATTTGCTTCATTCGGCTATAAGTCTTTCTTTCATGAAGACACTGCAGCAGCAGCAGCAGCAGAAGATGAAGCAGCAGAAGCAGAAGCAGGCAAGCAAGCAGCAGCTACAGAAGAAACTCAAACAGCTGCAGCAGCAACTGGTGCTGCTGCTGCTGCTCCTAATGCTCCAGCAGCAGCAGATGATGATGATGCCGATTTAACTACAGAGGAGTTCGATAGGATACAGCAGATGCTGCAGCAAACGCAGCTAGACGAAGATTAAAATAAATAAATAATACAACAAATAATAAATAAAATATATATAATAAACAAAATAAATATAATAATTTATTTGTCCAAATTGTATTCAACGTAAATCAACAAACTCAGCCAAACTCAAACAGCAGACAATTCAATGCAGCAAACGCTGCTGCTGCTGCTGCTGCTGCTGCTGCTGCTGCTGCTAGAGCAGCAGCATTTGCTGCTGCATCTGCTGCTGTGGCCGAAGTTAACACAGCAGCAGGAGAAACTGTTGCTGCTGGCGACCACCAGAAAGTGCTGCTGCTGCTGCTGCTGCTGCGACAGAAACAGCAGCAGCAGCAGCAGCAGCAGCAGCAGCAAGAACAACAACAGCAGTTTATGCTGCAGAGACAAACAGAAGACTTCTCTCTCTCTCTCTCTTTATCTCTATTTAATTTATTTAATTTATTTAATTTATTTATTTAATATATTTATTTATTTATTTATTTATTTATTTACTGCTTTGCTGTATTTGTTTAGCAGCAGAACAATAATATAAATTTTATTTATAATAAATTTATGTGTTTATGTTTCGCTTCTATTTAATAATAAATTAATAAATAATAAGAATAGTTTAAGTAATATTTATATTTATTATTAATTAATTATTATTAATATAAATCCTCTTTATTTATTTTATTGCTGCAGCCAGCAGACAAACAAAACGCAAAAACAAACACCAAAACTAAAACCCGAAAAAAAACAAAGACAGCTCTCTTGCTGCTGCTGCAGCAGCAGCAGCAGCAGCAGCAAGTGCTGTTGCTGCATTTGCTGCCGCGGCTGCTGCTACTGCTGCTGTTGTTGCTGTTCTGTTTACTACAGCAGATGCTATTGCTGCTGCACTTATTGCAGCAGCTGCTGTTGCTGTTGCTGTTGTTATCACTGCAGCAGCTGTTGCTGCTGCTTTAGCAGCGGTTACTGCTGTTACCAATGCAGCAGTTGCTGCTGCTAATGCTGCTGCTGCTGCTGCTGCTGTTACTGCTGCTGCTGCTGCTGCTGCTGCTTAGGCCTTCTGGGATTCGGCTGCAAGCTCCAGCAGCAGGCGCCCCATCCTTCCTACCTCAGCACGGTCCTTATCTTTTGCTGCAGTGCTGCTGCTGCTGCTGCTGCTGCTCGATTTGCTGCTGCTGCTGCTGCTGCTGCTGCTGCTGTTGACAAGCCACAACACCCGTGCCCAGCTGCTGCCGCAGCTGGCTTTGTCTTTTTCTGCTTCTGCTGCTGCCTTCGCTCTGCACACTCACAAACACAATACTCCTTAGCGCTATCCTTGCAGCAGCAGCAGCAGCAGCAAAAATGCAGCAGCAGCAAAATGCAGCAGCAGCAATACCAGCAACAGCAGCAGGAACAGCACCAGAAACAGCAGCAGCAGAAGCAGCAACAGAAGCAGCATCAGAAGCAGCAACAACAGCAGCAGCAACAGCAGAAGCAGCAACAGAAGCAGCAGCAGAAGCAGCAGCAGCAACAGCAGCAGCAGCAGCAGCAGAATACCTGAGTTGTGCTTTGCGTCTCTCTAGGTGTCTCTCTCTCTGTTCATAAAATTGTTTAATTTCTTCATCTGCTATTTGCTGCTGCTGCTGCCTCAATGCCTCATCTTCTCGTCTCCTTTCATCAATCTCTTGCTGCAGTTGCTGCAGCAGCTGCTGCTTCTGCTGCTGCAGCAGTGCCTGCTGCTGCTGCTGCTGCTGCTGCTCCGCAAGGGCCTCCGCACTCATATAAACTGCAGCAGTCGGCTGGGATCCGGAGAGACTTGGAAATTCTTGCTGCTGCTGCTGCTGCTGCTGCTGCTGCTGCATGTCTTCCCTCTTAGGGCTTCTCATTTGGCTGTCTGCAGAAGGAAACGCAACACCATTGTTGAGAAAAACATCACTGTCCTGCTGCTGCTGCTGCTGCTGCTGCTGGTCTAGCTCCTGCTGCAGCTCCTGCTGCAGCTCGTGCTGCAGCTCCTGCTGCAGAGCCTGCTGCAGCAGCTGCTGCTGCTGCTGCTCGGGCTGCTGCTGCTGCTCCTGAGTCGCCTCTACATTCTCCAGCACGAATTCCTCCTGCTGCACCATGTCGAATTCGCTGCCTCTACCATTGAAGAAGTCTTCGTGTGCTGCTGCCATCTTGCTGCTGCTGCTGTTGCTGCTGATGCTGCTGCTGCTGCTGTTGCTGCTGCTGCTGCTGCTAAGACACGTAAACTGCAGCTGCTGATGCAGTGAGTCCTCCAACTGTCTTTCAAAAGACAAAAGAACCCCCCTTATATCCCCAGGGAAAGAGGCCGCAGCAGCAACGCCGCTGCTGCTGCTGCTGCTGCTGCTGCTGCTGCTGCTGCGACGTGCGTCTAGAGTAGCAGCAGCAGATGAAGCTGTCTCCTTCAGGGAAACAGAAAAACAATAGGCTCTTCACTTAATGCAAAAGACTGAAAATCTGCTGCTCTCTTTGTCTGTGCTGCTGCTGCTGCTGCTGCTGCTGTTGCAGCAGCAGCTGCTGCCGCTGCTGCTGCCGAGGAGCAGGGGGCTGCGGAGGAGACCCCCAGAGCAGCAGCAGCATCTGTCTGGTTTTTTCTTTTAAATATTTTACTTGCTTTGTCTTCTCTTTATCTCGAGGGGCTTCATCATTATGCACAAGAATCAAGGGCTTTAGGGTTTACGGTTTAGGGTTTAGGGTTTAGGGTTTAGGGTTTAGGGCCTGCTGCAGTCTGCCCTCGACTGGCCGCTAGCTGAGCCTACTCACACACTTCACTTACCTTGTGTGCTGCTGCAGCAGCAGCAACAACAACAGCAACAACAGCAGCAGCAGCAGCAGAAACAACAACAACAGCAGCAGCAGAAACAACAGCAGCAGCAGCAGCAGCAGCAGCAGTGTGAAGGCATTCTGCTGCTGCCTAGGCGTTCTCATGCAACAGGATGGGGTGTACAGACACCGCATCTCCTTGCTGCTGCTGCTGCTGCTGCTGCTGCTGCTGCTGCTAAGTGCTGCAGGCCCCTCTACCGAAGACAGGGTGCTGGCAAGCAGCACAGCAGCAGCAGCAACAACAGCAGCAACAGCAGCAGCAGGAGCAGCAGCTCGAAGTTCACCTCTCATTTGTGGGGCATTCCTACTACGAAACGGTGCAGCAGCATCGGGAGGCTGGCAACATCAGCTGCAGCAGCAGCAGCAGCAGCAGCAGCAGAAGCAGCAACTGCAGCGCGGTTGCCTTCGAAGAGTTTATCGACACAACTCAAAAAATATCCTGAGCTATGGCTCCGCCAGACTCACTCCAACTAGCTGCTGCAGCAGCAGCAGCAGCAGCAACAGCAGCAGCAGCAGCAACAGCAGCAGCAACAGCAGCAGCAGCAGCAGCAGCAACAGCAGCAGCAGCAGTTTGTCGTTACGGGATGCAGATTTTCTGCGTCGTCTCTCGAAGTGGATTTTGCTCCAGGCTGTCTTAGGCATTAACACCAACCCCACAACTGAAGAGCTGCTGCAGCAGCTGCAGCAGCAGCAACCGCAGCAGCAGCAGCAGCAGCAGCAGCAGCAGCAGCAGCAGCAGGGTCTAGGCCTCAGCAGCATCGCGGAGTTGCACACAAAGTACGCCACTTTGCTTCCAGGAGAAGCAGCAACAGCAGCAGCAGATTCCCTCGCGCCCCAGCAGCAACAGCAGCAGCAGCAGCAGCAAAATCAGCAGCAGCAGCAGCAGCAGCAGCAGCAGCAGCATGCAGCAGTGTGCGGGCGTATATCTGCAATTCGACATGGGGGTTCATTTGTCGATATATCATCGCTCTCTTCGCTTCCCTGCGGCAGCAAAAATAAACTGCAGCTATACTTCGGTGCTTACTCTTCTCAAGCTGCTGCTGCTGCTGCTGCTGTTGCTGCTGTTGCTGGTGATGATGATGGGGTCCCAACAGCTTTAGTGGCTGCTGGGCAGCAGCAGCAGCAAAATCAGCAGCAGGAGCACCTGTCACGTCAGCCGCAACAGCATCCGCAGCAACAGCAGGAACAGCAACAGCAGCAGCAGCAGCAGCAGCAGAAGCAGCAGTTGCTGCCGCAGCAGTTGCTGCCGCTGCTGGATGTTGGTGATGTTGTATTTGTGAGGGGTTTAATTAAGAAGACGAAGACAGGAGAATTAAGTTTAGATTTATCTCTGAAGGCACAGCAGCAGATACACCGCAGCGGGCCCCACAGGCTGCTGCTGCTGCTGCTAGCGAAGCAACTTCTTCCTGCTGATGCTTACAGCAGCATGCAGCACTCACCTGCTGCTGCTGCACTCTCTACAACTCGCTCGCTGCTGCTGCAGTACATTGCAGCACAAGGACCCCATGCTATCTTTGCTGCTGCGCAGCAGCTGCAGCAGCAGCAGCAGCAGCAGCAGCAGCTCCTGCTGCAGCAGCAGCAGCGCGAAGGCAGCCGTAACAACCCCTGGCTGCCGCAACTGCTAATGCTGCAGCAATATTTAGGTAGTCTGCAGGAGCAGCTGCAGCGCGCTGCTGTAGAGCAGCAGCAGCAGCAACAACAACAGCAACAACAGCAGCAACAGGAACCACAGCAGCAGCAGCAGCAGCAGCTGCAGCAGCACGAGCAACGGGTGGAGGAGGATTGGTCGGATGCAGAGGAAGACGGCGACGAGCAGCAGCAGCAGCAGCAGCAGCAGCAGCAGCAGGATTGCCTGAGCAGCGGGGCAGCGAGTGTGTCTTTGCTGCTGCAGCAACCTGAGAAGCGAAGGCTGCTGCTGAGCAGAACAGCAGCAATTGAAAGCATACGCTGTTTTTTAAGTGCAAAGGGATATCTCTCTGTAGACACGCCCTATCTGCTGCCCGCGCAGGAGCAGCAGCAGCAGCAGCACCAGCAGCTGTTGCAGCAGCTGCAGCAGCAGCAACAGCAGCAACAGCAACAACAACGGGGGGTCGCTGCTGCGCCTCTTCCTCCTTCGGAGACAGCGCGGCTCTTCTCTTCTCGGCTTAACGCAGTAAGCTGCAGCAGCAACAGTAGCAGCAGCAGCAGCAGCAGCATCAGGAGCAGCAACAGCAGCAGCAGCAGATGTTGTGGGGTGTCTGCTGCAGACGAAGGCCCGAGTTGTGCTGCGGCAGGCGCCGGAGTTAAATCTGAAGAAATTGATTGTCTCAGGTGTCTCCGATAAGGTGACTCCTGCTGCTGCTGCTGCTGCTGCTGCTGTTGCTGCTGCTGCTGATGCTGCTGGTGCTGTTGCTGCTGCTGCTTGTGTTGCTGCTGCTGCTCGTGTTGCTGCTGCTGCCGCTGCTGCTTCTGTTGCTGTTGCTGCTTGTGTTGCTGCTGCTGATTATGATGGTGCTGCCGCTTAGTTCAGTGCTGCTGCTGCTGCTATTGCTGCTGGCGCAGTTTTTGCTGCTGCTGGTACTGCTGTTGCTGCTGCTGTTGCAGCTGCTGCAGTTTGTATTGCTGCTGCTGTTGCTGCTGCTTTCGTTGAGTTTTCTGTTTGTATATTCACGAGTATTGCATTTGCTGCTGCGCTTCCTGCATCATATAATGCGGCTCTTGTTCTTTGTGGTGCTGCTCACCTGCTGCTGCTGCTGCTGCTGTTGCTGCTGCTGCTGCTGCTGCTGCAGCTATATGAATTAGGCCGCTGCTTCCGCAATGAAGGATTGTCGTGGAAGCACAATGTTGAATTTACCTCTGTTGAGGTGTATAGTGTTCTTACAACGGCAGCAGAAATGCGGCAGCTAGCGCAGCAGCTAATTGCTGCTGCTGCTGCTGCTGTCGCCCGTCACGCTCCCTCAGCAGCAGAAACAGCAGCAGCAACAGCAGCAACAGGTCAAGCAGCGAGAGCTGGCGCAACAGCACCACCAGCTTCAGCAGCAGCAACAGGAGCAGCAGCAGCAGCAGCAGCAGCAGCAGCAGCAGCAGGAGCAGCAGCAGCAGCAGCAGGATTAACCCGGGAGGGGCTGCTGCTGCTACGAAACGAAGAAGCAGCTGGGGGTTTAATAAAAGTTAATCTGAACGACCCGTTTGAAGAAGCAGAATATTTTGATCTAATTGATAAATATACAAACATTAACCTGCTGCAACTCACTCATGAACAAGTAAGCAGCAGCAGCAGCAGCAGCAGCAGCAGCAGCAGAATCGGGAGCAGCAGCAGCAGCAGCAGCAGCAGCAGAATGAAGGGATGGTGTGGTTAGCTGCTGCTGCAGTCCTTCGTGTGTTTGTCTTTCCGCTGTTTGCAGGCCCTTAAGAAGACTGAGCTGCTGCTGCAGCAGCAACAGCAGCAGCAGCAGCAGCAGCAGCAGCGTGTGCAGCTGCCTCGAAGCTGTTATGTCGGGATAGAACATCTCTCTGCTTTTTTATTTAAGCGGTTTGTTGAGAAGCACTTAATAACTCCAATTCATGTGCTGCACCCTCCGTTGCTGCTGTCTCCTCTTGCTGCTCCTGCTGCAGCAGCAACAGCAGCAACAGCAGCAACAGCAGCAGCAGCAGCAAAGTGTGGGGTTGCATTAGCAGAACGATTTGAAACATATGCAGCAGGGATGGAGTTAGCCGATGGATATGCAGAGTTGTGCTGCGTAGCAGAACAGAGAAGGAGACTGCAGCAGCAGCAGCAGCAGAAGCAGCAGCAGCAGCAGCAGAGTCCTGCTG